CATGTGGAACAGTGTTTTTTTAACTTTGAAAATCATAGGAATGGTGTGAAGGAAACCGAATCCCTGACACTGAAGTACATGGTGGTTCCCTGCCTGCCTGGCCTCTTCACTCCCTGGGGTGTGATTGGCATTCTGACTTTCCCAGCAGAAAACCTCAGAGGGCCAGAGAGGTGTGAGGACATGGTCATTTGGCAGGTAATGGTTTCTTCTATGCTGTCTTTTTTGGGATCTTGGACATAACAGCCTTTCTAGAAAGATTGCTCCCCGTGGCTACTGAGGAATGATGACAAGAAAAGGCCGAATTGCAGTGTCTCCCTTAGCAGTTTGCTCTCTGGGTGCACAATGACAAAATCACCTGAAGCGACCCACTGGTCTGACCTCAGTAATGCAGGATGAAGCTGCATGCCTAGGGAAAGCTTTCTGAGTGGGAGGGCTAAGAAGGGCATTCCCAGAGATTGGGCAGTTTCAAAGAAAAAATAATCACTGATTCCCAGATGACACTGGGACTTGACAAAGTAGTTAATACCTCTCTTTGTACCCTTGTACACATACTTAACCACATCAAAGATGACTGGAATTGTAAAAATAATAACAGAACTTCAGAAGTCTTAAAAACATTTTTTCAGCATTTCAAATGCTAGTAATTGGATTACTAGTTATAAAAGTGAGATATCTTCCATGTCATAATCGGCCACATAGCCAGAGACTTGCCCATATGTGSTGCATTCATTCAAAATGTTAGGAAAAAGCTGTGTGTGATGGCACTTGCCTATAATCCCAGTGAATGGGGGTAGTGGGGGAGCTGAGGCAGAAGGATTACCCAGTTTAAGGCCAAGCTATTGATTCCCTGTCTCAAAACAGAAACAGGACTGAGGATGTAGCTCAGTGGGATAATGTCACTGGGCTCAATTTCCAGTAGAGGGCCAGGGGTGGGGGGATTGAGATGTTAGGAAAAAGTCAGGCCATTTTTTTGATGAGCTGTGGGCCTATGTCATGGGCTCTTGAGAGAAGCCTGAGATTACCAGTACCTCCTGTGGGCTCATATCAGTTACAGAATTCCAGAATTATACATGTGCCTTTGGATAGAAAAGGAAATCACAGCAGTGTGTCTTAGTAAGCACAGTGTGCTAGAATTACAATAAACATGTAACAAGTTCTTCTTAATTTTCTAGATACGTTACATTGTCTTAAAGTGACATTACTCCAGAAGTATTGCTTAAAATAGAATGAGTTATTCTTYATTCTCCATGGGAATGGGAATGTATAGAAGAGTATGCTGTTTAAAAATAGGTGTGAATGAGTATGTGCTCTGTAACAAAATTGCATGATGCCATTTCTGTATAAAGTTGCTTAAATGAGTAATAAATACTGTTGATTTGAATTATTTGGTTATATTTTAGGATCTCAAACTCTTTCTACTCTTGTTTATTGTTCTTTTTTTTTTAAACAGGTGATATGAAGATATTAAAACTTAAAAAGATCCTGAGAACCCAAGTTTTTTTGTTTTGTTTTTGTCTAACGTAATTAAAATCCCAGTTAACGAAAAGGAATCTTGCTGTTGTCCATGCTGGCCTGGGCCTRAGTGATCCCCCTGCCTCAGATGCCAGAGTAGCTGGGATTTACAGGTGCACACCCCTGCCCACTTTCTTTTACTTTTAAACATGTTTAATGAAGAACCTTGTGGTGGTATTTAAGCCTCAACTCTTCTTTTTT